TCACCCCCATCTCTTTTCATTACTTAACGAAGCTGGTCTCCTGTGTTTTCTCTGCTCTTTATTGCTTGTCACCGGGGCTGAGTGACTGCTGAAGATGAGAGGGGATGAGGAGTGTGAAGAGGGAAGCTTCTGCCTTTGGTCTGAGCCTGACGGGGAATGATGAAAAACACATGGGCTATGAAAAAGTCCAGTCCAACTTTCTGTTTACCGAGCTCCCTAGAAACGTCAACATCTGTCACCAAGTTACCCCTAAAAGGGGCACCCCTTGCTACAGGACCCCGATGGCAGGTCCCATCCCTCTTCCCCCAGCACGGGCTGGAGCGGAGGGGTGTTGACAGAGGGAAAGGGAGGTTATCCGGGATTTGGTGATGGCTGTATTAATAGACAAAGGACATCAGAAGCGATATCCCCGGCTCAGCGCTGCGGTGCCACCTCAGGCGCGGCCAGCCGGCCCGCAGAGATGGGGTGGGCGCCGGGGGCACCCCTCGGGTGAGCCTGACTTTTGCCGTCCCCGCAGGCGGGTCCCGAGGGAGAGGCGCGCTGCGCTGGGTGCGGAGGAGCGCGGCCGCCGCGTACCGCGCCGAGCGGAGCGGAGCGGCCCGGCGGTCGCAGCCCCGCTCCCTTGTTATTCCAATCCACACAACGAATTCTCCTCGTATTAGTAATTTCATGAAGATCAAATGCAAAGACAGCTGGGAATGAAATCGATCCCTACAAAATGTGTTAGTGAAGTGTTCGGTCTAAGTAGATATTTCCCTGTTCTTTTTTAATCTTTAATTTGTAATAGTCGATAGCATATTGCTATTTTTTTTCTTTTCTTTTCTTTCTTTTTTTTTTTTCCTCTTTCATGACGGAGGGTTACAACCCCGCATGGGGTAGAATTAGGACATGCATAAGTTCCTTGGCAAAGCCAAACTTACTGGAGACAAACAGGAACGGCTGCGCAGCGCCGAGACGCCGGGCGGGCATCGAGCAGGCACTGGGGCAGGGCGCCCTCGTCCCCTGGCTCTCCCTCTCTCGGACACTATCTGCAGCTCTGGCAAGCAAAACGCTCCATGAGTCCCTGTATATTCCTAATTCCTCCGTCTGCCGCTGGCTGCCCACATCTGAGACCGATGTGAGCACAGGCACCAGAGTTTGTGACTGAGATTGGCTTCGTATCTCCCGCTGTCCCCCTTGTACTTGGGAGTATTTGATTTTTTTTTTTCTTTTTGCTGTTTTTACTTTCTTGATCGGCAGAAGTTTTGAAATACGTTGAGTTTGTGTTTGTAAAACGGGCACTCGGAGAAGTCCTCAGCCGGCTACCGGTTTTGTCGTAGTCCAGGCTGATCATTATTCGACCACATTTTTATCAGAACCAGTAGTTCTGATTTAAGTTTCTGAGATACATTCTTTCAATGAAAATACATTGGAAAGCCAAAATAACAGTAAAAGTAATAGTTGAAACATTCTCCGTGTGGAACAAAGGCTTACACTGTGTCACTGCCCCGTAAAAAGTAGAACAGAAACATTCTCTGGATCCATTCCTGCTCGTTTTAGTGAAATGTGTAATCCTTTCGAAGTTACATGGCAAAGAGGACTCCTTGCATAATCAAAATCAACACAGTTTGCTACCAAATGCCTAGGCAAAAGAGAAGACTTTTTATCCCTAGAGCGCCCATTGATTTCATTGGTCTTTCCGAGCTTGAAACAGGAGAAACTGCGACCTGTAATATTTTATGACACATAAACCATAAAAGAATAATGTTAACAATGAGAGTTGGCCAAGGAGTGCGCCTGAGGGAGAAAAGGAATGTTTGTCTTGGAAAAGGAGAAAGGCAAAAGGGAAAGAGAAAGAGGGAGAGAAAGAGAGAAAAAGTGAGAAAGGCAGACCGAAAAAAAAAAAAAAAAAAAAAAAAAAAGGAAGAGAGGAGGGGGATCTGTTTAGTCATATATTATTAATTTCATTATTTATGTAATGCTTTTTTGCGGTTACAAATTTACTGTGATCTCACAGATCTAATTGCTCAAGAAAAACAAACAAGAGATCTTGCTCCTAAGCTAACGCAAAAAACATTCCTAAACTACTCTTTTCCCCTTCAAAAAAAAAGCCAGCCGGTGTTCCCGCCGGCTCCAGGGCCCGGCCGTGCGGCAGGAGCAGTCTCCCCCGGGGCCGTCCCCAGCGCTGCCGCCCGGGCTCTCCCGCGGCTCCGGCCTTGTTCGGAGCATCCCCGGGGCCTGCCCGGGAGCTCATCCGTGCCCAGGGTCCCCGGACAATTCCTGGCTGGGAGGGGGCATCGCTCTGGAAAAGCAGTTTGCCGGTAAAAAGCAGCTCGAGTCTGTAGCCCAAACGTGAGCTGCCATTAGAGAGTTACTAATAAATCCCTATTAAGCATGCATTTATGCAGTGATTATGTGAACTTTGGCCTTTGCACAGTCCCAGCAATTAACGGCGACGTCCATCGCGTTTTGCCCAGATTTCTACTCTTTTCCCATACAGGATGGAGAGGGGAGCACGGCTCCACCAGCGCCTCCAGCTGCCGGGTGCCTCTCCAGCCATCCCTTTCCTCATCACTGCTGAGGAGAAAGCCCCAGGCACCCCTCCCTTTGTCCCCGGACCCCCGCTTGAAAATGCCGGGTGCTTTACGAGATGGGTTTGTTGGTTTTTTTTTTTTTTTTCCCTCACTCCGGTACCTCTCGCCGGGGATACCCGCCTGAGCGTCGGATGCAGCGCGGGGAAGATGCCGAGTGTTTGCTGTCTCCGCAAAACAACGGAAAGCTGTTAAAATTTAGTAAAAATATTCTGGGCAAAAGTGAGAGGAAAGTTGCCGCTGCTGGGGAGACAGAGGGAGAGAGAGAGGGAGAGGGATGACTCTGTAATTGTTGCCTTTATCAAGGCTGTGAGATTAACTACTGGGATTTATTCTAAAGTGACCCATCACCGAATTCATTTCTGCTTGAACTTTCGGTGAACCTGAGATTAAAGAGGGGAGAGCAGCTAAGCAGTTTGTTGTTAGCTGCCTTTTCAACAGCCCTTTCAGACTGAGTAAATATTGATCGGTTTCAATCTGATTGCCCCAGAGGAAAACACCAAAGCATCTCAATAGCCTCCAAAAGTAAACTTTAAAGGTGAACAGCAGAAATGGCCTTAAGTATGATAGGAAGATATTAAACTCCGTTTGACATTTGAATGCGATTTGTGTTGACGGATTTTGATGAGATGCGGGATTTTTTCTTCATTTTTCACCCTGAGATTCTAGAGATTTTTTTTTTTAATTTTAAAATGTGTAAAAAAAAAATCCTTACTACCTGAAGGGTAAATTAGTGTCTTCGTTGAAAGCGTTTTGTAGGGGGATTTAGCGATATTTTTGAGGTAGAAACTATAAACTAGAGATTTTAATTTTTCTTCACCGCACCCCTGAACCCGAAGGTTGATGGTATCGAAATAGTATTAACGCTAACAAAATGAGACAGGATCGGGAGACTGGGAGCGTCTTTGCTTGAAATACACTATGACTGCGGGGGGCAGGGGATGGTGTGCATATATATATATACATATATATATACACGTGTGTGTATATTATATATATGTATGTATGTATGTATGTATGTATGTATATGGGGTTTGGTCTTGGAAGGAGATGGGATTCTTTGCCCGCGAATCGCGAATCTCAGATTGACGCACTGGCAAGCGTCTTGTCTCTCGTATTTAGGCTGTAATTTATGGCCGCTCTTTCTAACACATTGAGTCAACACCGGTGGAATCGAGTTGTAGATCCGGATTCCAGCAATGTTTAGATCCAGATTTCGATATTGAAATGCCCTCATTGGCATGTAAATGCCACTTTAACACATCCAAGACTCTGGAAGAAGGCCATCTGTTTTGCTTTGTGGCTTTACACTAATAAACAAAAGGTAAAGTATATGGCAGGCGGGGAAATGAAAGAAATAGAGGCATCGGCGGGAGCCTTTGGAGACAGCCCTGCTCCCTTGCAGATAGCTCGGCTCTTGATATGGCCGCCGCGCCTTGCAAATCAGGACTTGTCTCTTTTGACACCGAAGTGAAGAAAATTTCGTTGACTCTCTGCGGATCCCGCAAAGAGAAGCCTGCGTGGGCAGACCAGCCCCAGGAGAAGCCCGGTAGCACTTCTCGCAGCTGGGCAGGGTGAAGGAGATGTTAGGCGTGTTTGCCTTGTAATTCAAGAGGCATCAGTGACTCGAGACATCCCCCGTCCAGCTGAGCATGCCTCTGCTGTGTCCTGCCACCCAGGTTCTCCTCACAAAGGCTCCTCTCCCTTCCCCACCTGCTGTTCACTTGACATTTCTTGGAACAGATATTATATTTACCTGCAAGAGCTTTATTTTGTACCGGGGTGAGGGGGAGGGAGGGACGGGACGGGGATTGGGCCGGAGAAAGAGGGGAAAGGACGGTGGAATGGGCTGGGGTTAACACCAAAAACACACTGGGAACCATCTCCCACCCCATCAAGCAGCTTGGGGTGGGAGAGGGAAGCAGGACAAGCTTAGTGCCCAGGCTAATTAAATGCGTGGTCCTTGGAGAGGGGCCTGCAGTGTGAGGAAATACTGGTTAAAGAGAGTTTCTGCTTTTGAAGGGTGCTCTGTTTACTTAAGTGTCAGCATCCATCCCGAGGTGAAAAGGTTAGCACTTGACCCAGGAAGTTCTCCTGTTTGTGCTTCAGAATTAGATTGGGATCATAAATTCCTCCCAGTTACAGAAAATGGAGAGAAGGGCCTTATATTGTCTAAAAACAATATTATTTGAGCATAGGAGAGGAAGAAGTTTTGTGTAGGAAGTCAGATTGGGCAGCCAGAGCTCTGATCTGACAAAACAACATAGGAGGGGTTGTGAGACTCTTACTCCCTTTCCCCCTTGGAAAGACCCCAGTAGAAGAAAAGAAGGGAAACCAAAGTGCTGAGCCCAGGCTGTGACTCAGCGCTGACGTCACGCAGAGGTAGGCAGACGAGGGCTACCTGAAAGTGGAATATATTTATTACAGACATTATAAGGACCCGTAAATCCTGCTCTGGACTCCACCACTGGTGGAATTACAGAGACTTTCATGATTGTACAGAAAAATCAGGAGGACATTTTGCTCACACACGACAACTGATAGAACTCAGTGTACCCGCAGTACAGCAAAGCACGGTGCGTCATGCAAAGGTCTGGACACCAACCACAGAAATTATACATTCATTTGGCCATTTGTCACATTCACGAGAAGTTTGAACAGACATCAAGTCTAAAGGAAGGTTACTATGAAAATAGGAAGAGGCGAGGTCATTTGGATGGTTGTACCCTTCAGCTGCACATAATCCAACACAGCTTTTGGGGCAGGGGGAAAAGGAGAGGGAGCAAGCACACAGGGCAAGGTTTAAAAAACCTAGTGCAATTGAAGCCTTGTTTGTCACATTTAAAGAAATAGCGCTACTTTTTTGAGGTATCTGCTTGAGCTTAAGAAGTTTACTTGATACGGTCGTCTACTTCACCAATATAAAAATGGATCCAGTTTGGCGAATGCACTCACCCTGCTTAACCTGATAATCGAAACATCATTCTAGAAAAATCTGTAAAAAGATAAATCTCTCGGACAAAGTATTTACAAGCAACAAACTCATTGACACGAACAAAGAATACATTAAATTAAGGGGATGAAAGTCCTATAAGTCGTGTAAACACTTGCAATAGTGCATCTCTTTGTGAGGTTATTGACCCTAAATAACCTGTCTTTCATTCAGGGAAGCTCGGTGGAGCATCCTCGCCGTGGAGGAGGGAGACCCTTACGCGTATGCCAACACAGCTCCACCAACAAAAAAGGAAGGGGGCCCGGGAAGAAAATTTCCCTGGCACTAAGGCGCCGGGACCCGGCGGAGCCGGCACCCCCGGGGCCGGACGGCGGCGGAGGTAGCGGGGGAGGGAGCGGCAGCTCGCCGAGACCTCTCCCGGGGATACCGACCGAGCGACCGACCGAGGGACCGACATCACGGCGCTGGACGGACGCGTGCCGCGCTGGCGGGGGCGTCGCGCCGGGGCCGTCGGGGCGCGGCCGGTCTCAGTTGGAGGCACCGAGCGTGTCCGAGGCGGAGGAGGCGGGCGAGGCGCTGCAGGGCGAGGAGCAGGACTTCTCCGACGAGTCCTCCGCCTTCTCCTCGCAGCCCGTGGGGGTGGCGGGGGAGATGGGCAGCAGCCCCTCTTTCTCCCGTTTCTTTTGCTTCATCCGCCGGTTCTGGAACCAGATCTTCACCTGCGTCTCGTTGAGCTGGAGGGAGGCGGCGATCTCCACCCGCCTGGCCCTGGTCAGGTATTTGTTGAAATGAAACTCCTTCTCCAGCTCGGTGAGCTGCTTGGTGGTGAAGTTAGTTCTGACGGTGTTGGGCTGCCCCACGAAGCCGTACTCGCCAGCCTTGCCTGCGAGGGGACATTCAGCGGTAAGTAAGTGAGCGGAAATGATTTATAGGCGATGTAATCAATATGTCCACACCGGCTAAGCGATAGGGAGCAAGAACTTCTTAGGATAAGAGGGAAACCCCGGCAGGGTGAGTGATGGAGTGCGAGGTGCTAAACCGGAGTCAGCCTCTAGTGTCAGAGCAAACTTGATAAGTGGTTTATGAATTACCAGAAATATGACCACGGGAGAGGAGGAGAAGGGGGAGTCAGGAACAAGTGAGGAATAAGCGGCACCGGCTTTCAGCTCCGCCGGCAGGCAGCCGCGACTGCTCCCAGAGATGCGGGCCGACCTACCTGCCCAGAGCCCCGCGGTGTACCGCGCCTCTTTCCCCGCACCCTCGGCGGAGAGAGAGAGGAGCGGCCCCCGCCCCGGCCCTCCCGCCGGCCACTGACCTGTTTTGGGTGGGTTTCTTTTCACTTTCATCCAGTCGAAGGTTTGCGCCGGCGGCGAGGTCTCGCTGGAGGGGGAGCGGGCGTTTTCCCGGTGGCCAGCGTGGAGGGGAGACAGGGCATGGTTGTAGGTGCCCAGGGGCAGGCTCTGCTGCTCCTGCCCGTAAGGGGGAGGCACGTACTGAGCGGAGGCCCCCGCGTAGCCCTGGTGCGGCAGCGGGTGCTGCGCAGCGGCGGAGGAGGAGATGCTCCCCGAGTACACGGCGGGGGCACAGGGAGGGAAGCCGCCGCCCAGCTCCGCGTCCTGCCCCAGGGGGTAGGGGCCGTACGCCGCTCCGAAGCCCTGCGCGCCGTAGGTCGGGCCGCAGCCGGGGTGCGCGTAGGACACCCCCAGCCCGCCGTGGTGCTGGTAGGCGGCGGGCTGGGCCGGGCTGTGGTGGTGGTGGCGGTGGGGGCTGATGGGCACCCCGCGGCCCGCCAGGAAGCGGTCCTCTCCGCTGCAGCTGCCGGCGCTGACGGCGCAGGGCTGGAAAGTTGTAATCCCGTGGTCGGGGTGGTAGGCGCGGGCGGCGCAGCCCCCCGCCTCGCCGCCGAGGACGGGGTACTCGAGGAAGGAGCTCATCCTCGCCGCGTCCTTCTGTCACGCCGCCACCGGGTCTTCAGCGTCCGGCGGGGCCGCGCCAACTTTCCCACTTCCTCCATGGGGCCGGCAGGAAAATGACACGAAGGCGCCGGCAGCGGGCAGGCACGTGGGGGGCGGCAGCCAATGGCTGCGGGGCCCGCGGGGCTTCCCCGGCTCCCGTCGCTGATGCAGCGCCGCGTCGGGGGCATTTAAACGCCGAGCGCTCCGACCGCGCGGCACCGCGGGCCGGGGAGGCGGTGGCGGTGGCCCCCAGGGGGTGGGGGCGGGCCGGGCCGGGCCGTACACACACACCCCCGCCGCGACAGCCCCCTGGGTCTCGTCCGCCAGCTGAGAGAGGAAGGCAGGAGAGACCTGGAGGCTGCGCCCGGCCCGCGGAGCCCACCGGCCGTCCGCTGCAGGGTGAGTGCTGCTGCCAGGGCGCCCCAGCGTCACCCTGCTGTCGGCGCTGTCAAGCTTGCACCGGGCACCTCTGCTGCGCACCAAGCCCCGGCTAGGACAGCGGCGGGGGGTGGGGGTGGCTAGGGGACGCGACTGGATCCACGGCATGGGGCGAGGGATGGGGCGGAGGGAGGCAGAGACAGTGCTGAGAGCATCAGCCCTTGGGACGGGAATGAGAACGGAACGGTGGATGCGGCTGGGGACTTCTACCGGGCTGGGAATTAAGATAAGGACAGGAATGAAGGTAAGGATAAGGTAGAGAATAGGCATGGGACGGAGGATACGGATGTGGATGGGATGCGGGTGGAGGTGGAGACGGTAACAGTGCCGGTGCCGAGGGGTCTCGCCGGTCCAGCCCCGCCGCAGTCCCAGCGCGACGCCACGCCAAGAGTTAAAGGGGCTTGTCCAGCCGCATCACCAGGCGGCCGCGGACATTAGCATGGAAATGAGGCGCTTTTGGGACTGACGGCCTTTGTGCTCTCCCAGGCCACCCTCTGGCCCTCATCCCTGCTCCCCCTGCACCTCCGCCGGGCTCACCCTCGCCAGCCTAGGGTTGGGGTAGGGAAGGAGGAGCCGGGGGCAGGAGGACGAATGATTGGACGGGGGCCCGGGGGCTCCGCAGCCCATCTGCTGTGCTCCCGCAGAGCCGCTGCAGCCCGTCCGCCTTGGGACAGGGTGGGGGGACGGCTGTCCGGGGTGTCGCGGGTCGCAGCCCTAGGAGGCGACCCGGGACAGGGGCAGAGGAGCGGAGGAAGGCGCAGGGCCCACCGCCCCGGCCCCTTTGTCCCTGCGCTCCACCAACCGGGTCGGCAGTAGGGAGAGGTGGCAGATGGCCAGTGGCAGAGGCGGCCCCAGGACCCTCGGGAACCGCGCTGAGCATCGGCTCCAACCCACCCCTCCCCAGCACCGTGGGGAGGTGGGTCAAGAGATGGGTCCGTGGCCAGAGAAGGAGGGATGGTGGTGAGATATGGGTTACGACCTCATGTGCGGTTTACGTATGCGAAAAGGGAAAGGGGAGGTAAAGGCCGGGCATCCGTCTGTCCCAGCGCACCCAGCCGTCTGCAGGCAGAAAGGACGGGACCAAAAGTCTTCAAAAGCAGTTCTGCGAAGCGTCAGCCTCGGAGAAAGATGGATGGAAAGTCATGTCCCCTGACACTAGCCCCAGGAGGGGCTACCCCCTCTATTTCTGCAGGTGCCGACTCTTAAGTCCCTCTGTTCTCACGCTCGATCCTTGCTTGTTTTGAAATCCAAAAGGCTCTTCCACCCCGCCACCACTCCCCGCTCACGAATACACACTCACACACCCACATACACACCCTCAAGCTCCTCCCTCCCACACGAACTACAACACAACAACTCTAGGTGCAAAGTTCTCCTTCCCACTGCTGTTGGGTCAGCCCTTATCCCACGGCATCTGCACGGCCGCTCTACTGCCAGCCAAAACCCAAGGGCGCCTCTCTCCACCACGCGTCTACCCCGGTGCCCTCAGTATGTCTATTTGTTCTGATTTACTACAGAGGCAACGATGGTTAAGGGCCCTCTGGAAAGGTTCAGTTTCTTAAACTGCAGGGGGGCGGAGTGGAGGACAAGAGCAACAACACTCCAGAGGCATTTATGATATTATACTGCGCCAATTTTGGTTATGGTTATAGCTGTAAACACATTTATTTCATTCTTGTAAACCAGTTGTGATAAATACTGCATAAAGCAGAGAAAAGAGACAGCGATTAGGACTACTTACTAATAAAAGGGCTGACATCTTCTCAGTGCTTTTTCCTTCATCCAAGAAAAAAAAAAATTACTACAAGTAGATCCCTTTTACCCGCAAATTCCGATGAATCACTTTTCTTACAGTCTCCAGCATCCTGAAATCCTTTTTTCTCTGCCTTTTTGGTGCCATTGTCTCTTGTTGCATTGTCTCTCTGGCGGGGCTCTCGGGTTTTGCTGCCCGCACTAAGCATGGGGGCAACATCATGAGAAGGGTCGGAGCATGGGAGGAACACACACCACACCCTCCCTCCTCCGCGGCCAGGCGAGGGGGAGCTACTGCCCCTTCCCCCTGCCCTCAGGCCATCCCGGCCCCTCCGCGGCTTCGCCCCGCGTTTCCTGCCACGGAACTGAGGCTGAGGGGGCGATCCCGGCTGTTGAGGCTTTTCCGTGGGAGTGTGCCCCCGCTGTGGCCCCAGAGTTCACCCGGAGCCTCGGAGGCGGCTCCTGCTTGCTGAATTCCCCCATTTATTTAAATTGAGTTTGTGAGAAGTTTAAACCTTGTAGAACGTTTCCTTTTTCTTTTCCTTTTCTTTTTGTTTTATGTTTCTGGGTTTTGTTTGGGGGATTTGTTTTATTGTGTGGGTTTTTTTTTTTTAGTTCGTTTTGCTTTGGTTTTCTTTAAGTGTAGTCAACATCCGGAAATCTGGGCACAAAAGAAACCCCAACCCTTACATGAGCGTTGCGGTCCAATTTAACCCAGTGGCAGAGGAGTGAAAATGCCGGTGAGGCTGCTCGCTTTCCGCAGGGACATGGCTGGAGCAGAGGGAAGGAGGAGAACCGAGGCCGAGGTTTCACCGCGCCCGCAGCTCAGCCAAGCTGTTGTTTTAAAAGAGCAATAAAAGTGAATTATGACTAAACGCCTTCTCACTTAATGGTTTTAGACGGGGATCCCCAGCCTCGGCAAATACGTAAGAGGATTTTTATTTGTGAATGTGTTCCTGCAATTGATCTCTTTGATGACATTCTCATTCATAGAAAGAGTTTGATTTATGGCTTTCGGAAGAATTGCGTTCAGCCCTTCCAGCTATAACCCACGCATCCCAGCTCCACAGCGTGCTACGGGGCTGGGAGACAACACTGCTCGCACGGACGGACAGCGGAGCCCCGTTCTCAGCCCCCCAGCCAAGCCCCACTCGCTTGTGTAATGCAGCCACCCGCACTCACTCACTCCAGCAGCCGCGAACATCCCCGCCCGGGATGCCCCGGCCCCGGAGCCGCAGAGCCCCGCTGGCATCTGTTGCTCCGTTTTAGCCCGAAGGACGGGGCTCACCCTCCGCTTTGGGGCTCGGCAGCGCCGGGTGGCAGGCAATTCGGTGGAGATTCCTGAAAGCCCGTCTATGCCGCCTCCAGCAGAAGAGCGGGGAGCCCGAGGAAATTGTAACTTTAAAGTCAGTTTCCCCTTTTCCTTATCGGTCTTTCACCTCTCAAGAAGGCTTACACAGAAAAATATGTTCGGGTCTGCCCCCGCACCGCCCCCGAGAAGGATGGAGTGGAGAGGCCAGTTCCTCCCTAAATATTTTTTTCTTCCCCCTGCATTTCTGCAGCCCTTTTGATTTTACAGGCACTAACTTCTCTATTTCCTCTCCTCCTAGGGCTGATTTATTGGATTACTCAGCACGTGAGAAGTAACCAACTACATTCTTTGTGAGCTCTGATATTTTTTAAGATACGTTTTCTGAAATATCTTGCTGGCTGCTGAGCACTACTTTCTAGAAAACCAGGATTATTTTAATTTTTATTTTTTTAAAAAGCACCTTTCCTTTCGTTCATGTAACAGGCTGGTTTCTGCAGGAGACGCTTATCCTACTGTGTCTCTCTTACGTTCTGCCTGTAACAGAGAAAGTCCTCGTTCATGCTTTTGTTACAGCTGAGGATTTCCAAGCTTTGTATCCTCACAGAGATAAGATGCCACATTTATACATTAAAAGGAACAAATCTCCATCAAACCTGTGAACGGTTGTAATTTCTTTAGTTTGTTTTTCCTTCCCTTATGAGAATCCTTATAATAAAGAAAATGAACGAATTTTCCTCTCTAAAGTGTCCTAAATTGCCAAAAGGGAAGAGCTCGTTGTCAGAACGTTGGATTTTGATTATTAGTAAATTAATAGTGGAAGGGATGGGGAGAGATACCCGTCGTGTTATCCATCTTGAAAGCAAAGAGAAAGAAAGGAGAAAGAAAAAGAAAAAAGAGAAAGCTCCTTGTAGCAAACAAGAATTTATTCTACCAAAAATACTTATGACAACGCATCCTAATGTAATACAAAAATAAAAAGAAAGTGAAGATACATTCCTATATGATCACTTTCTTACAGACCTCATATATTGCTTTCATAGAAGGACCTAGAATGTGGCTAGGTTAAAATTGAACACAACTAAAACTTCATAAGGAACGGCAAAATGGCATATCAGAGGGAAGTAACAAACAGAAAATAGTGAAGAGGGAAAGGGAGGGGAAACATAAAATTAATTCACTGGGGGGAAAAAAATTAAGAAGAATAAGGAGGAGAAAGCAGGACCCTGGGAGAGGACTTCTTTAATTTCTTAGTAATTCAGATGCTGCAAGTCAATTGTGGTGAGTGTGTCTGTAAAAAAGTCAAAACTGTCAGCAGAGATATCTACGGGACTGTCCAGAGATCCTGGCAAACTGGGCGAAACTGCATCTGAAAGCTGTAGGCAGGAATCTGTGGAGAAAACGTTAAAGTCCTGTAAAGAAGGGACATCTAGGGCCTCAGGACTGTCATTGTTCAGGCCAGCTGCACAGTTCTGGGCCATTGTTGAGAGGCAGTT